AGCCGTTTGAAGCATTAAAATCGCACATTAAAGGCTACATGCACAAGAAGTTTTGAAACTTTGAGGAAAGTTTCGAAACTATTCAAAAGAGGAAAGAAATTTTTCGACCGTTGCAACCCAAAGTTTTGAAACTTTAAGGAAAGTTTCGAAACTCTTGAAAAGTTTTTGAACTTTAAAGTATTATGTTTTTGCAAGTTTCAAAACTCTCATAGAAATTTCAAAACTCTTTGTCAAAGCTTGATTTAGGTAACAAGTTTTGATATTTTGAAAAATTCTAACTTTGAAAGTTGTTCTAAAAAATTTGAATGATATTTTTGACATAATTTGAACTTAGAAAACTTATTTTAATGATTAAATAAATTTTAGGGACTTAAAATTAATTTTACAAAAATTAATATATAAAAATATATATTATGTTATATCAAAATCATTTATGTTATAGCATAAGTATAGATACTCACAATCATTTTTATCAAGATTTCTACACATATTCATACAATATCAGTTTTTGAAGAACTATATTGATATCAAAACCTTGAAATGACCAATTTAAAGCTCAAAAATCACTTTAAAACACTCATAAACACCTTAGATGAGGCCTTACTCAATTTATAAGACTTATAGATTCATCATAGGGACATTTGACATCAATTCTACACATGTTTGAAAATAAATACATTAAATTAATTCAAAAGCATGTTTTGACACTCAACATGAACAAGCAAGACATCACATTTATGAAGCTTAAGAAACATTTGAAAGTTAGAAGTGTACTACCTTAAAGCTAAAATCTCGAAATGAAGCTCATTGCTCGGCTTCTGCCTCAACTTTCTCTTTCCCCTTGCACTAGATGGTTCTTCGACCTCTTGCACTAACCAACGAAGTATATAATGATTATCACATGAACAAGCTTAAAAGGGGTATAAAAATGCACTTAAGATACTACAAATGAACTTAAACAATCGAGTTAACTTATGGAGATAAAATCTCTCTAAAACCAAAAACTTGCTAACTTCATTTTTCATGAAGATGATGAGCTTAAACTCAATCTCAATGGATGTTGATTATCACCCATATCTTCGCTAAATTCTGATGGAAATTATAACATAAAATTGTCTCGTTTGATGTTTCTTCATAAGCTTTAGAGAAGAGAAAATATGACATGAAAAGACCTAAAAAGAAAAGTGCTCAACTTCTTCATCTTCTCTTGCTCAATGATATAAACAAAATTGAATGAAATTCAACCTTATTTCTATTCATTAGTCAAAATATCCATATAATCCCTCATCTTTTGATCCCAACTCAAAAAATCCATTTTTATGGTCATCTAAGCTCAATTCTCATCTGAATAAGCCTAAATTTTGACTTAACGGTTTTAATCACCTACTCACATTAGTTTATCGATATTTCGAGTCAACCTAGGAGTGTTGAATAAACAATTCAGGGTATCATAGATTTTAGTGGCAACAAATGAGATTTAAGGATTTAAGATAATAGATTTGGAGGGCTTTAAAGATTTGAGATGAAAGTTTTATGAATTTTTGGATATTTTGTGAAAAATTAGGAAATGTTATATTTTTTTGAAAAAAAAAATATTAATTTTATTTTTTGAAAAATTAAAAGAAATAAAAAATTAGGCTACATGTCAAATACGAATTGATTGATTGATTTTTATTGATTTTTAATGGTCGTGGCATAATTAACCTTAAAATGATAGCTTTGAAAACGTTAGGTATTGATTTTCACAAAAGAAAAATATTTAGACACCTAAAGTAAATAAATTTATAGTTTGAATACTTAATTTTTCAATTAAACCTAAAAGATATAACAAAAAAATTAATAAATCAAACCATCGTTCTTGAAGATTCTTTGAGGAGAAAATTAATATCTTGTTTTTGTATCAGTGCAATGAGAACGAACATAGATTTCTACATTGTAAGATGAATACCATGCATACACTACGCCATTTAATTGAAAGCCTGCATATCAACCACACGAATTAATATTTGTACACTGGAACCATGATGACACTAAAAGTATGTTTGTTTGCCTGTAATTGGTTTTCTGGAAAATCAATTATGGAAAATGAATTACATTTATAGAAAACATTTTTTCAGAAAACCAATTACATTGTTTGGATGTTGCATTGTAAACTGTTTTACACTGTTTGGTTAGTTTTCCTGAAAACAATTTACGAAATCTGTTTTTCTTTTTGTAAAATTGTATATATTTTTATATTTTTCTTGTTATTTACATTTTAAATTTTTTTAAGTTATTTTATAAAATTATATTTTATAAAATTTTGAAATGAAATGTTTTATTTATATAAGTACATGAAATTAAATTTGTAAAATATATACTAAATTATGTTGATTGTGTTATAAATACACAATTTTAGGTTTAAAGTATTCATTATACTTTATCTATTATCATTTTTAAAATTAAATTTTAACTCATAATTAATATTATATGTAGGTTTAATTAATATAATGTTGATAATGTATTAAAAATATATTATCAAAGTATATAATTAAAATTACATCATTTTTAAAACAACAATAGTACATCACATTGATATAATAATAATATTTTCAAAGTGTTTAATTAAAACTATACCACATTAAGATAACGATATTATCCAACCATAATAATACAAAGATATTGTCTAATTCATAATTAGTGCTACATCACATCAAACCAACATATGATTAAAGTCTATAAATAGTACTACAACACATTAAAACTTAAATATTGTCTAAGTCATAAATAGTAATACTCCACATTAAAAGTTCACATCCTAACTTTGAGGAAACTGTTGAAGTCAAATTTTCCTATGTTTTGGATTTTTTTGCCAAGAAAGCTTTGGTCTCCAACTAATTTTTTGTCAAAAAATCGAACACCCCACAAAGAAATTTGTCATCAAAGCATTCTTTCTCCATTGACATAACTTCTTCATAAAGACATGGTGTCTGAACCTCTATAAATTTTTTAGTGCTTTTGCAATCTCACCAAGTTTCTCACCTACAAATTAAATATGATCATCATCGACATTGTCTTGGACATTCTTCATTTTACGTTTTGATGTACCAAATGAAGATAATTTTGTTTTTTCCTCATTGATATCTTGAGTGTCGAAATTTAACGGCGTTGAACCTTCATTAACATCATCCAATTCTATATCAACAAAGGTTCTAGCAAGACTCCCTATTGCCATATCTTGACCAACAACAAGAGCCATATCATCATAAAAATCAATTTTTTTGTTAAAAAATTATCCATAATTTGGGTGTGTTTATTAAATATTATACACAGTTAGCATAAAAAGTAAAATTCAAATATCATTTATTAAAATAAGTATATAAAAATTATCATCACTATAGCATCATATGTCACTTCGTCGCAAGTTATCATTCTCAGGTTCTCGTCCCACCCTACTCCACTTTCTTCACGAATTGTACATATAGTTTTCCATGTATTTTTTATAGTTCTCAAATGATTTTCCACGTGTTTGGTGGCACATTGGACTTGAAATTTTTCGGAAATAGCTGTAGCAACTTGATTTATAGAAACTGCTCTAAATGTATTAAATGGCTTATTACCTTTTTGCGTCTTCTCTGCAAGTATTTCGAGAAATAGACGTTCCATTGGTTTTGCCCACCTAAAATGTTTTGATTTGCTCATTTCTACATTAATAATCTTAAAAAAAGTAAGTAATTAGACTACTAACAAACATAAATTATCCATCAATTATGTAACAATTTATAATATCAACCCTCAAATATACACATTATCAATTTGCTACAGCTCACAAGCATATGTAAATGTCCAACAAACATAAAACATAACATTTATAAAACCAACAAACTTTAAAAATAATAATTTCAACATCCAACAAATTATATTCAATGTCCAACAATCTAAGACATTATCAATTTCAATATCCAACAAACTAAAAACAACAATATCCAACATACGTAACATAGAAATACTGAACAAAATGTTCTAAATAAAATTAAATGTTTCTATGTATATAATCACTCCACATAGCTTCTGCAATTTCATCTCTCTTAGTAGCCCATTCTCTAGCTTCTTCCCTCTCTTTCCGTTGTGTAAGAGTTGATGTTATCGAATGAGGCTCGTGTTCCTCATATAATTCTTCGTTAATTAAATCATTAGGATCAACTCCCATTATATGATTATGGATGATAGTACAAGCCAACACTACATCTACTTGTGTTTGAAAATCCCAAAATGGTTCAGCATCCAACACACGAAAACGTTTCTTTAAAATTCCAAATACTCACTCAACAGTGGTTCACAATGATGAATGACGAAGATTAAACAGTTTCTTTGCATTTTCTGGATGTTGATTGGTGAACTCTTTTAAATGATATCTAACACTATGATATGAAGAAATAATTCCATTTCGGATGCCATATCCAGCATTAGCAAGATAATATTTACCTACAATTTGACAAAATATTATTATTACTTAATATATTATGAATTTAAGTTATTTATTTTTTATTTTAAAGCTAAGTATTACCTTCTGGAATACAAAATCCTCTTCGGTGTGTAAGTGCATCAGTTAAAACAAGAGAATCATGCAGACTACCTTCCCAACCAGCTAGAACATAAGTAAATTTCAAATCAAAAGTAATGGCAACCAATACATTCTGTGTCGTTCCCCCTTTACGACTACAAAATCTTCCTTGAATGTTATGTGGAACATATGCACGAATATGAGTTTCATCTAATGCTCTGACACAATCTTTAAAATATGACTAAAACCTAGAATTGTTTCTTATCTCAAGAGGAGTTGACTCATCGGGTAATCTAATGGCTAATTGATATAATTTCAAAATAGCTCTCAACACAATCTTAAAGTAACATTGAATTGTTTCAATTGATCTATAATATCTTGATCCAATCACTCAAAATCTTACATTATGACCAAATATATGTAAAAATATGAGAACTTGCTCTTTAACATTCACCGCTCTTGTCGACTACAATAAATTGTTCCTAGTAAGGATCTCACACAGATTAAAAAAACACAACCGGACGCATCCTTATTATGTTGATACAATTCTAGTCACCTCTATATAAAATACTATTGATGTAGTTTTCTCTTTCACAATCTCGATTCACATGACGTTTATGAGTTATTTGCTTTCTAGATTTTAGTCTGTGAATCCAAAGAGCCCCAAAAGCCAATGTTGAAGCAGCGACTCCCACTATTGTTTTATGAATAGTAACCTGTCAATATTTATGAATTTTTGAACTTTATAATAAACTATAACCACTATTGTTTTATGAATAGAATTATGTTCAATATTATGTATAAGTTTCATATGAAGTATTAAGCTTTTACCTAAAGCTAAAGTTCATATTACTTTTAAGCTTTTACCTAAAGCTAAAGTTCATATTACTTTTAAGCTTTTACCTAAAGCTAAAGTTCATATTACTTTTAAGCTTTTACCTAAAGCTAAAGTTCATATTACGTTTAAGTTTTTACCTAAGTTAAAGTGGATGTAATTTATGTCGATATACTATTAAGAATTTATGTCATATATCATATATTTGAAAAACGTACCTCGTTTTCCTTTTGTGATCAATGATATGCTAGGTTCAATGGTCGATCCTCGTATTGGAGAAAATTTTAACCAAATGTGCAGGTGGACTCTAGTAAGAAGAACCTGTCATAAATATTACAACTAATAAGATTCAGACATCATTGAACAAAATTATTAATCGATGATAACAAATTGGCAATACGAAATAGCCAGTGTTAGAGTCAACATAGAGCATAAGTACAAAAAATCCAGTTAATGATGTGTGATTATCCATTATAGCTACTTACCAAGTGAACCCATACGTCCATACATAGATGCACGAGAACATATATGAATTTAATATAACAATCTCAATTACTTTCCGATAAACGAACTACTTAACAGTAGGGATGCAAATGAGCTCAAGGATGTTGGGTTAAATCATTTTCAGTTTTTCTTCAATCCAGTGGGTAGTTAAGGGAACAAAAGCAGTCTGATTCATAATGTGGGAGTCAGGAAAAAGAATGGGCGATTACAGATTTTTTTTTGATGCAGTTTCTGTACGAATAGCTTCATTTTTACTAGCAAAATTCCTAAATTTGCATTAGTGTGATGCTTACTGAGAGTTTTACTTCCATTCTTTTAGTTAAGCTTTTTGAACTTGTCAAAGAGAAGTCCAATGAGTTTCTTGGCCAGAAAATCTGGCGCAGTCTATAAAGCTGCACTGACTCTTTACATATCTTTTAACAATCAACAAAGTAGTAGATTTTCGAATGCATAACCTTCTAGAATGCCCTTTTCTATGAAAGCAAACCTTGAGGTCTGCATTTTTATCCCCATAAATACATTGACCCATTTCTTCCGTTACATTGATGGTATAAGTTGTACCATCATTGCAACTTGTCTTTTGACACAACAGACCAAATGACAGCCTGTTGTTCGTTGTTTATTTCAGTCTTGGAGGGTTTACAGCCTTGGTCGCAGCGGTGGGGTTGCCTGCAACAGCTTGTATTATAGACAATAAGAGCTAAAACTGTCTAATACACGACCACAAGAGCTAAACAAAGAAATCAGATTTGTCGTTCAGCAGGCAAGAGCTGAGGACTGCAGAGGAAAATCTCTCAATCTTTCATCGAATTCTATAGAAAGCTTAAGCTTTTGAAATGCTACTGGTACCATACCTTCCTCCTTTCTTCATTAGAAAACTATAAAAAAATTAAAATCTGTGTATTTTTATAGTTAATCATCTCTGTATTTGCTTCTTCAGCTTCTTGAATCAGTTGGCATTTTCCAAGATCATGAAGAAATATGACAAGGTCTAATTCTTATTCACTTTCTATATCACAATCAACTAAAATTAACGAGGATCATGGCTTATTTGTATTGATTTTCTGGTTCATCCTAGTATAGGTCTCATTGCGAAATGCTTCGAAAGCTTTACTTGCAAATGGTGGACAAATCTTATCTTGGTAGTTCTGATGAGGTTAGAAATGGCGAATAGGAACCTGTTTACATGACGTTCAATTGAATTTCTCTTTGTCCCTAAATTTGCTACATTCAATGACAGGTTACTAAGCTTTTGCAACGGGTTGAGGAGACTTAAGTTAAACACTTTGCTAATGGAAATCATAGAAAGGGACTGAAAACTCTAAGGCCGCAAGCTAAGAAAGAAAGAAAGAGAATTAAATTTCTCTATGGTAAAGAGTTTGCCTCATTTCAAAGCATATTTCTAGAAAAAATTAATGAAAAAGTAGACTTGTTTCAACCAATAATTACCAAAAAAATTAAAGCCAAATATAGTATCTTCAAAATAACCAAACCCAACTAAAACAAATGATTTCATATGAAGCTCATCATCAGCGGTTTGGCATCTTCAAAAATTAAATGGCCTCAATTTATGATATATGGCACCCACACACATACACATATACACCTATGTATAAAGTATGATTTGAACATTTAGTAACTTTAAACAAAAAAACAGAAGTGAAACCCAATCGAGTCAAGAACTTAGCAATACAACTAAAGTTTTCTTTCTTTTTCTTATTTACTTTTAAAGCTCTTAGAGTAACCCACTGCACTTCCAACAAGATAAAAGTTCTTTCACACTTACTGATCTACTAAGGAACAACCAGGATTTACAATCTCAAAAGCATTACAAAAATAGTTCAGTATGAATTTCCATAACATAAAGCCTCAGAAATCAACTAAAAATCAGCCATTTTTATCAAACTTAACAAATTTGCATTATCTTTAAGATGAAAACAAACAAAAAAACAGAAGAAAAACCGAACGAGAGAGATCCATTGAATAAAAGAAACAACATTAGATAGGTCTACGCAGAACAAACAATAAAAAAGGAAGCAATGTAGGCATCAAAAAGAAAACAACATAAAACCTGCTAGGAATGTCCATTACCCGCAGTTTTGTCCTTAATCATTACAACCATTCTAAAATACCCATCAAAACAAAAGCGACTTTCAACAACAATTTCTAGGAGATTCTGGGCATTTCTATAACCTAAATCCGGTAGAAAAAACACTAGTAAACAGAGTTTTAATGTAAAAGCCAAGTAATATGGGAATAGTGCAGTGCTTGTGTGTTTCTCCCAATGGAAAAAGCATATGGATACTAGTAAACAACGAAAAAGACGAAAATTCATTAACAGAAAACTATAAATGGTAATAAAAATGAGTTTTAAGAACCAAAAAGATCCCAGATGAAATATAAACCTCTATGATTATCGAATCAATCACCACATACAGATGAAAAATGACAGCGCAATTGGTACATTTTAAAAAGATTTACCCTTGGAAATCAAAGAGAAAAGCAAAAGGGGAGGAATAGCATTAGAAATTCGAAATATTACCTAGGAATCCTAGAGCTCCTCACTTGATTTTGTTGAAAAAATCTGTTGATTTTGTTGTTGGTGAGAAGAAGATGGTGATAGTTGATTGGAGAATGAAGGAGATCAAAGGTAAATAAAAATGGGAGGCAGTTGGTTCGTAAAATGAATTCCCTTTTTTTCCATGGTAAGTTGTTTTACGGGCCAAAGGGACTTTTTTTTTTACGTTGACCGTAATCGATTTTACATTGACCAATGACTTTTACGGAACCAAACACGAAAATTGAGAAAAAATCAATTCCGTAATTGATTTTCCTAAAAACAAATATATCCTAAAATCTCAACATGAAACCGAGGAGAAGAAGACAACTATACATAGAGGGGCAACAAGGTGAATAATGATCAGAGAGTTAGAGAATCTGGTCACCGAACCGATACAGTGAAGGTAAAACTAGAAAGAGAAAAAAAAAAGGAACGCATAGTGCGGAATCAAAGAAAGAAAGGATGGACTTGAAAAGACTAGAAAAGTAAAGGAAGAAAGAGAAAGTAAGATAAATAGGAAGGTCGAGGAAAAAAACATCTTACAAGCGATGTAAAAACTGCCACCGATTATGGGAAAAAAGAAAGGGAAAAATTGAGCAACAAACGAAAATTAAAGAGAATAAATCAGAATCTTTTATTATAAAAAAGACACACACCGATTGTCAACCAATAGCAAGAAGACATTTCAGCAAGCTCAACCAATCAAAATGCACCGCACATTAAATTTCTCAAGGACAAGATGGTAAGCTCACAGTTTATTTGTATCTTCGTCATTGACCATTTAATCCTCAGTTGCCCCCCCTCCCTAAACTCCTATAAACTACCAAAAGCTTAAACGCACCCAAAGCGCTTCTTCCAATTTTCTCATCTCAAAGCCACCGTAAAAATTGAAAATGGCATCCGAAAATGACAGTTCCAGGGTCGGATCTGGATCTCACACCGCCAACGGAAGCGCTACTTCTGACCTCAAGGTCGCGTTGATCACCGGCATCACCGGTCAAGACGGTTCGTACCTTACCGAATTTCTCCTCCACAAAGGCTACGAAGTCCATGGCTTGATCCGCCGCTCCTCCAACTTCAATACGGAGCGAATCAACCACATCTACGTTGATCCACACAACGCCCACAAGGCTCGCATGAAGCTCCATTACGCTGACCTAACCGACGCTTCCTCGCTTCGTCGCTGGCTCGACACTATCCTACCCGACGAGGTTTACAATCTGGCGGCTCAGTCTCACGTGGCCGTCTCTTTTGAGATCCCCGATTACACGGCTGACGTGGTGGCTACGGGAGCTCTCCGGTTGCTGGAAGCCGTTAGATCCCATATCACTGCCACGAGTCGAACCCATATCAAGTACTACCAGGCTGGATCGTCCGAAATGTTTGGATCTACCCCTCCGCCGCAATCTGAAAATACACCGTTTCACCCCAGATCTCCATACGCAGCTTCCAAATGCGCCGCGCATTGGTACACCGTGAATTACAGGGAAGCGTACGGGATTTTCGCATGCAATGGGATTCTTTTCAATCACGAGTCTCCGAGGAGAGGAGAGAATTTCGTGACCCGGAAGATTACTCGGGCCGTTGGGAGGATCAAGATTGGGTTACAGAACAAATTGTTTTTGGGGAATCTTCAAGCTTCGAGGGATTGGGGTTTTGCTGGGGATTACGTGGAAGCTATGTGGATGATGCTTCAACAAGAGAAGCCGGACGATTACGTTGTGGCGACGGAGGAGTCACATACGGTGGAGGAGTTCCTGGAAGTGGCATTTGGGTATGTTGGGTTGAACTGGAAAGATCATGTGGTGATTGACAAGAGGTATTTTAGGCCTGCTGAGGTGGATAACTTGAAAGGCGATTCGAGTAAGGCGAGGAAGGTTCTTGGGTGGAAACCCAGAGTTGGATTTGAGCAATTGGTGAAGATGATGGTTGATGAAGATATTGAATTGGCTAAGAGGGAGAAAGTATTGGTTGATGCCGGTTATATGGATGCCCAACAACAGCCTTAATCTCGAGAGCCTTGGCAAATTTTCTTCTTGGATGATATAGTTGGTGTTTAAGAATAGGGTATTTATTTAATTTAAGTTCTCTGTCGTTTTCTTTTTCCATTCAATCGCAGAAGTTCATAATGATGTCACTCTTGAGTTATTTTGATTTTGTTTAAGAAGAGCCTGAAGTTTGCAGTTTAAGTTTTGATTATGTCGTGAGAATGCTGGAATCTAGATCTCATCCCTTGAGTTTTGATTGTATGCACAAGATCTGAAAATGATACTTTGTTCCTGTTGTGATCTGTTTTTTGGGTCACTAGATCGACCACTTGTGTATTCCTAGTTTTTGGATCATGTGATAGTGTTGAAGAGTTAAAAACATTTACGGGCAAATAAGCTAGTGAAAAGCACATCTTGTTACCATTACTGATTTGAGCCACTGAAGCTTATTTTTGTTGGCAACCCTTCAATTAGATCTTAAACTTGTCACAGCTGCTTCACATTTAGCCCATAAAATTACTCCATCACCTGCATTCAAATAGACAATCAAGTTAATAAAAAGCAGATGAAACAGAATACTGTCTTGTACAATACCATTGAATAATGGACTACTCTGACTGCATTCGGTAAGCAACCTAATTTTATACTTGAACCCAGATTTGATGTAAGATTATGTATTTAAAGAAACACCCGTATATTCGGATAGGTATTGAACATAGATAACAAACAAATTTCTTTAGCTCCTTCGGTTTGTCTTATGGGCTTGACAACCAGTAAAACCCTCACTCAGCCGAGTAAAATGTCATGAAACCGCGAGCCTTGATGACAGTGATAAAGGAGCTGGATGAGGTGTATACCTTGTGTACATTAAGTATACGAATCATATTAATACAATTTCTTTTTCGGAGTTCATTAAGGATGACACTGGCACATGTGTACTTGTGGTGATAGTTTGATGTTGATATCATCCTTTATCCGTCTGAATTAAGTCAAGGTTGTATATGTTCTGTTTATTATATGGCAAATGTCATTTTGTTCTTAAGTACTTAAACTTATGTACTCAAGGTTTAGATGGAAGAAGAATCTCTGATTATGGCCACGACTCAAGAGGTTCATCTTCCATTACTTTTAGAGAGAAATCTGGGTATTTTATTACTAAATGAACAAATTGGGCTGAAACTGAAATTGATTATGTTATCTAGTGAAACAGTTTGCATCTCTTACTGCTTATGGCTTTAAAAATATCCACATCTTTCATTTATCTTACAAGTATATTGATCTGGAAATATATTTGCTTGCTTACAAATAATTGCAATTTTCATGGATTGATCTCCAGACCTTAAGATGATTTAATTGCTATTGCAATCTTTAAGTGGAGGGATAACATATGTAATTTGGGAGATATATTGACTTTGGTTCCATACCTTTAGAGATATTAACTGTTATTTGGGCCAAAAGTTGGAGGCTTTTTTTTTGTGGGGGCAGCTGTCTGTTTCTTTGAGGAGAGAACCTGTGGAATCATCTCGGGTGTAAAAGAAAATGGATATTTTGCAGAATTTATCATGTTTTATCCGTTCATTCAAGTAGTAGCTCCCGGTTCATCCCTTAATGATTTGGCATTGCATTGATGATTTCTCAAACCAGTAGTGGGAATTTGCTACTCCCCATATTCATTTAATTCTTAATAGTTTTCGGTGTTCAAAAGTCCATTGGTTGCATCCCAAGTGACAAGAAGAATATGTAGGGAGGTTGGTTTAATGTGCTTGTGAGATGCTTAGTGTTAGGTATGGCTCATAAATATACCAGTAAAGAGGACAGGGGATGTAATTATGTATCAGGTTTTTTATTATAAATAGAGATGTAACATAAACCTATGAGACATTGAATAAAAACTTCTAGCGTTGTCTAGGCACCGAGGACGTAAGCACATTGTCGAACCTCGTTAAAATTCTTGTGTTCTTTCGTTTTCTTTACCCGATTCTTCAACAATTGATATCAGATGTCAGGAGCAAAATTCGAAGTTGCGAAATTCGATGGTCAGTGTAACTTCGGATTATGGCAAACGAGGGTGAATGATCTGTTGGCGCAGCAAGGGATCTTGAAGGCTTTGCGACCTATAAAGCCGGCGTCGATGGAGGAGGAAGATTGGGAAGAATTGTAACAACGAGCGGCAGGAACCATACGATTATGCTTGGCAGACGAGGTCATGTATCACGTCATGCATCTGTCGTCTCCAGACGAAATTTGGAGGAAGTTGGAAAGTCAGTTTATGTCCAAATCCTTAACGACAAAACTGTATCTAAAGCAGCGGTTGTATGGGCTGAAGATGCAGGACGATCATGATTTGGCGCAACACGTGAATGTCTTCAATCAAATCGTTTCTGATTTGTCTCGGCTTGATGTGAAAATTGAGGATGAAGACAGAGCGATGATTCTGTTGTGTTCGTTACCTCCCTCTTACGAACACATGGTGACTACTCTTACATATGGGAAAGATACTATCAACGTTGAGGAGATTACTGTAGCCTTGTTGGCTCACAACCAGTGGAAGCAGAATGCAGGGGAAAGCTCTCAAGCCGATAGCTTATATGTCAAGGGTAATCGAGATCGTGGATGGAAGCCAGAGAATACAGGGTTTGGCAAGCAGAATTCCAGATCCAAATCTAGGGATAAGAAGATAATTCATTGTTACAAGTGCAAGGAGGCGGAACATATGAAGCGAGACTGTCCGAAGTTAAAAAAGCAGACTGATGAGAAGCGTGATGATTCATCCAAGTCTGTGAATGTGGTCGAGGATGACAACTCTGATTGCAGTGAGGGTGATATGCTCTCTATTTCAACGACTCAATTGACGGATATTTGGATTCTTGATTCTGGATGTTCTTATCACATCACGCCAAACAGGGAATGGTTTTCGACATACAGGTTGGTTAATTTTGGTTCTGTTTATTTGGGTGATGATCGATGTTGCAATATTGTTGGTTTTGGTGATGTCAGAATTAATATGTATGATGGCTCTGTTCGGACGTTGAGTGGTGTTCGATATATCTCATATTTGAAGAAGAATTTGATTTCTTTGGGCACTTTGCACAAGAATGGTTTTATCCCTAAGGCTGATGAGGATAGGGAAACCATTCGGATTGTTAAAGGAGCTTTGACTGTGATGAAAGGAAATATGACTGCAGGGAATATTTATAGATTGTTAGGGAGTACCGTTGTAGGTGGAGTTCATTCTGTTGAGTCATGTGATGATACTACAAAACTGTGGCATATGCGTCTTGCTCATCTTAGAAAACGTGGTATGGCAGAATTACACAAAAGAAATTTGTTGCATGGTGTCAAAAGCTGTAAGCTCGATTTTTGCAAGTATTGTGTTCTTTGTAAACACACTAAAGTCCGTTTCAAGACTGCGAAGCACACAACTCAAGGGATTCTTGATTATGTGCATTCTGATGTATGGGGGCCTTCCAGGACATCGTCTTTGGGTGGATCTAGGTATTATGTTACTTTTTTTTACGATTTTTCACGGAAAGTTTGGGTGTATTTTTTGAAACAAAAGTCTAACATTTTTTAGAAGTTCAAGCTGTGGAAAGCTGAGGTAGAAAACCAAACAGAACAAAAAATCATGTGTTTGCGGTCTGAAAATGGTACATAGCACACATATTCACAGTTTCTACACTTTTGTAAGGAGCATGGGATTAAGAGACATTTTACAGTGCGCAAGACACCACAACAAAATAGTGTTGCAAAACGAATGAACATGTCATTGAATGAAAGAGCTAGATATTTGCGGTTGAATGCGGGGCTTCCCAAACACTTCTTGGCTGAGGCTGTTAACATAGCGTGTTATCTTATCAACAGATCGCTAAGGGCATCATTGGCTGGGAAAGTTGTAGAAGAGATATGGACTGGTCATGATGTTAGTTTTGATCACTTACGGATTTTTGGTTATCCTGCTTATATGCATGTACCTGCTGATGAGAGATCTAAACTTGATGCAAAATCAAATGAGTGCATTTTTCTGGGTTACAAGAAAGGTGTCAAAGGATTCAAGTTCTGGGATCCAGTTGCGAAGAAAATTGTGATCAGTAGAGATGTTGTTTTTGATGAACAGTCCATGTTGCAGCAGAAGAAAGACACAACAGTGGTGGATTTCGAGCAGTTTCCAGTTGAGAAACCAGAAACTTCTCAACCGACTTCTGGTGGTTCTGCTACGGATGATTTGCAGGATTATAGTCTCGACAGAGACAGGGTGAGCCGACGAATATAAAGCCCCCGGACATATTGTGTTTTGAAGACTTGGTCTCTTTTGCACTTACTGTTAGCAGTGATGATCTGATTACTTTTCATGATGTCGTTACTAGTCAAGAAAACGACAAGTGGATGGTTGTCATGGTTGAGGAGATGGAGTCTTTGAATCACAATCGTACATGGGAGTTGGTTCGCCTTCTTGAGGGTAAAAAGTCGATTGGTTGCAAATGGGTGTATAAGAAGAAACCATCAGTAACAGAAAAATAGGGGGAGAAGTTCAAGGCTCGTTTGGTAGCAAAGGGTTTTTCACAACAGAAAGGAGTTGATTATGATGAAAATTTTCTCCTGTGGTCAGACACACTTCAATTCGAGCAGTACTTGTATTGGTGACTAGTTGGGATTTGCATTTAGAGCAGATGGATGTTAAAACTGCTTTTTTGCATGGTGATTTAGAGGATGAGATCTATATGCGGTAGCCTGAAGGTTTCACTCAACCTGGAAATGAGCATTTAGTTTGTAGAATGAAGAAATCTTTATACGGGTTGAAATAGTCTCCGAGACAGTGGTATAAACGGTTTGACTCTTATATGATCAAGATTGACTACAACCGATGTGAGTATGATTGTTGGTCTATGTTAAGAGCCTTGATGATTGTTCTTTATTTTTCTTTTACTATATGTTGGTGATATGTTAATTGCTGCGAAGAACATGGATGATGTTATCGGTTTGAAAACTTTATTGAGTCGGGAATTTGATATGAAAGATTTAGGTGCTACAAAGAAAATTCTTGGAATGGAAATTTGCAGGGACAGAGACTCAAGGAAACTGTGGCTATCTCAACGGGGTTATGTTGAGAAAATGATAGAAAGGTTTGCGATGAGCAGCGCAAAACCAGTGAGCACTCCATTGGCGAATCACTTTAAACTCTCATCAGAACAATGCCCTAAGAC